ACTCTCAAGTATCTATGTTTAAAAAATGAACTGCATTAACAATTCTATAATAGTTAAAACATAGTGGGAATGTCTTTTGGTTTTTGCATGCCTGGTTCTGAAATACATCACACTCGTTAATATAAAATAAAGTTGCATCAGAAAAGGGGCTGATTAACAAAACACCCCAGTAAAACTAGTCCCATTGGAGTCTGGTAAAACTCTTGACTTCACCCTTGCTTTGATGCTCCTCACTTTCATCTTGACCTCTAGCATTTCTTAAGCCTTAAAGTTAAAGGAATTGAGGTGTTCCTGCTCACATTACTAGTGGTAGTTTAAAAAGAAATAAGCATGAAGTAGCCATGTTGTCTGGTGTTCCATTGGGGTGAAGGGGAAAAAACCCCACAGCAACATTGTATTGTAGTTGGGAAATATCTTAATTGTATGTGTGAGGTTCTAAAACAATGCTATAAACATGCAGACAAACTGCAAGCTCTTCCTGTTGAGACACATGAAGGCCAGAAAACCTTTCTTTTCCTGTCATAACATCCATTTTGTCTGATATTTGATGTTTTCTGTATTGATTCGGTATGTTGATATCTGTCTGTAGCTTGGTTTTTGCCAGTTGGCTAAAGTCCTGTTCTTCAGGAACTGGCATGAAATCCACTCGAGATTGGCACATGAAACTCACTCAGCCATCTGCACAGTTTCTAAAGATCATGAATTATTCAGTTTTCTGTCTATGTAGCTGTACTGACACTAGGTGGACCATTCCATTTTGCCAACCCGTTTAGGATTCCTAAAGTCTCACTGCAGCACTAACACACTGGCATATAACTGTCCATATTTGCTGTTAGAACCTTCCCATTATATTGTGTTTCTACTTGAATACTTTTGAGGCTGCCATTAAACTGTCTAAAGTTTAATATATATCTCCAAAATAGGTATTTGATTGCTTTAGAAGAACTTGTGTTATCACAAAGTTGTTTAGTCTTTCCTAGTATTTTAGAAGTTTGAAAGTTTACTGAATGCTGACAGCTACAGAAAATAAAATTGCTGCTAATTAAAATTACATTATAACCAGGGGTAGATTCAGTGGGGGTGCACCCGGGTACTTGCAACCCTCCTGAATACATGCTCCACCCAGAGTTTAAAACCAGACGCATAGCAGTAACAGCAGCATTTCTAGTTAGGCAGCATTGAGGGAGTCAGTTGACTTAACAGTTCATTGTAATCTACCAGATTCCACAGGTGTTAATTACTCTCTCTTCTTTTTAATGGTCTTGATGTTCCACCAATCCACCTATCCTTTGTTTTGCAATTCTGCTCTCTGGTGGCTGCTCCTGGTAATGAAGCTCCTATTTCACGGCCCTAGAGATCGTTTTTAACTCATTCCAGTGAAGTTATACTTTTTTTTTTTGCTTCAACCTTAAACTAAGTAATACAACCGTAGGCCTCTAGCATATTAGTAAAGCTTTTAGTTTATTTTTAACTGGAGAAAAATATATAGAATTTATCTCTTTCAGAATATATATATATATATATATATATATTCTCATATATATAGAGAGAGAGAGACAGAGAATATATACATTGATATATATATTCGTATATATATTCGAAACGGGAGAAATCATGACAGAAGTGTGAGTTATTCCTTTCATGTGATAAAACTTAGAGCTTTATTAGACTCATGTTCAGCTCATTTAGAATATATTGACTTGTTTTCATTTTTTTTTACCTATTTTAATTTGTACATTTATGGTGATCTCCTCTGCTCCCCTGATTTCATCTACTGTATCTGTATGAATTATTCTCAAGATATGTTTCTCTACATCTTGGTTCAGTTTCACACTTGTAATTCTCTTGAACATCATCTGTTAGATAGCTTATAATCACTGACCTATCTTTCCCGATGCTCTTTCTCTCTTTTCTCCTTTCTGCTGTAGCCACTGACCAGTTACCTACCATCCACTTCTGTACAGCAGCTTTGTCAACTGATGGGAATTAAAGAGACTGGAATACTGGGATTTAATTATAGGAGATATAGATTTGAGTTATGTAAATGTTGGGGATGCTATAGAACAGGGGTGGGCAAAGTCCAGGCTACAGGCTGGATTGGGCCCATGGTGGACTCCATTTCCCAGCAGCCCCTCCTCACATTGCTGTGGCTGGTTTCCATGGAGACCCCAATAAAGGTGGTGCCATGATAGCGCAGAGCCAGGGTTTCCACGGAAACTGGCTCCAGCAGTGCTGGTAGGGCATGCTGGTAGGTAGTGGACCACACTATCACCGCTGCAAGATCCCGGCCACAGAGCAGCTCCCCACCCAGCCACACACTCTGCCAGCGCTGCTGGTGCTGGTCTCCAAGGAAACCCTGGCCCCGTGCTGTTATGGTACCACTGCTACTGAGATCTCCTTGGAAACCAGCCTCAGCACCAGGGGCCCCTGGGAAATGGAGTCAAGCTGCTGACTGGATCCACCATTTTGCCCATCCCTGCTATAGAACAAAATATGCTTGTATGAACGTGTTAGCACCCATATTTTCTACTCACTTTCTCTCTCACTATGAGTAAGATATGTCATCCTCGACTGTGATATTAAGCCAGTTGTGCTGAATATGAAATAAAGCTTACAGATAAGAACCACAAAATTAATGTTGTCTTTCTAAAAGGAATGTGCAAGGAGTAATACGCAAATTATTCTACATCTATTTCTGTACAGCTACTATTCTATACTATGTATATAAACTTATTATGGATGTACACACGTACTCCATGCTCTAGCATTATACACACACACACCTGGTAGAGCAATAAAAACATAGTTTTACCAAAAAATTACTTTGTTTTGCAAATATTATATTGGTATAACCCAACAATGAATAATAAACAAAATGTTCTATATGTCTGATGTGAGGTTTTATTTTATTAGACAAGAATTGAGACCATATTTGAACAATTCTGGAAAGTCAATTTTCTTTCTTATTGATTTTAATATATGTTATTGCAGGGTGTGGGAAAAAACAAGATTGTTGACAGATTCCTTCACCTGTTAAACAGACCTAGAGAATATTTACAGCTTCATAGGTAAGAATGTTATTTTATGTGACAAATGGTAGATAACTGGTCAGTGGCTACAGCAGAAAGGAGAAAAGAGAGAAAGAGCATCGGGAAAGATAGGTCAGTGATTATAAGCTATCTAACAGATGATGTTCAAGAGAATTACAAGTGTGAAACTGAACCAAGATGTAGAGAAACATATCTTGAGAATAATTCATACAGATACAGTAGATGAAATCAGGGGAGCAGAGGAGATCACCATAAATGTACAAATTAAAATAGGTAAAAAAAAATGAAAACAAGTCAATATATTCTAAATGAGCTGAACATGAGTCTAATAAAGCTCTAAGTTTTATCACATGAAAGGAATAACTCACACTTCTGTCATGATTTCTCCCGTTTCGAATATATATACGAATATATATATCAATGTATATATTCTCTGTCTCTCTCTCTCTATATATATGAGAATATATATATATATATATATATATATATATTCTCATATATATAGAGAGAGAGAGACAGAGAATATATACATTGATATATATATTCGTATATATATTCGAAACGGGAGAAATCATGACAGAAGTGTGAGTTATTCCTTTCATGTGATAAAACTTAGAGCTTTATTAGACTCATGTTCAGCTCATTTAGAATATATTGACTTGTTTTCATTTTTTTTTACCTATTTTAATTTGTACATTTATGGTGATCTCCTCTGCTCCCCTGATTTCATCTACTGTATCTGTATGAATTATTCTCAAGATATGTTTCTCTACATCTTGGTTCAGTTTCACACTTGTAATTCTCTTGAACATCATCTGTTAGATAGCTTATAATCACTGACCTATCTTTCCCGATGCTCTTTCTCTCTTTTCTCCTTTCTGCTGTAGCCACTGACCAGTTACCTACCATCCACTTCTGTACAGCAGCTTTGTCAACTGATGGGAATTAAAGAGACTGGAATACTGGGATTTAATTATAGGAGATATAGATTTGAGTTATGTAAATGTTGGGGATGCTATAGAACAGGGGTGGGCAAAGTCCAGGCTACAGGCTGGATTGGGCCCATGGTGGACTCCATTTCCCAGCAGCCCCTCCTCACATTGCTGTGGCTGGTTTCCATGGAGACCCCAATAAAGGTGGTGCCATGATAGCGCAGAGCCAGGGTTTCCACGGAAACTGGCTCCAGCAGTGCTGGTAGGGCATGCTGGTAGGTAGTGGACCACACTATCACCGCTGCAAGATCCCGGCCACAGAGCAGCTCCCCCCCCAGCCACACACTCTGCCAGCGCTGCTGGTGCTGGTCTCCAAGGAAACCCTGGCCCCGTGCTGTTATGGTACCACTGCTACTGAGATCTCCTTGGAAACCAGCCTCAGCACCAGGGGCCCCTGGGAAATGGAGTCAAGCTGCTGACTGGATCCACCATTTTGCCCATCCCTGCTATAGAACAAAATATGCTTGTATGAACGTGTTAGCACCCATATTTTCTACTCACTTTCTCTCTCACTATGAGTAAGATATGTCATCCTCGACTGTGATATTAAGCCAGTTGTGCTGAATATGAAATAAAGCTTACAGATAAGAACCACAAAATTAATGTTGTCTTTCTAAAAGGAATGTGCAAGGAGTAATACGCAAATTATTCTACATCTATTTCTGTACAGCTACTATTCTATACTATGTATATAAACTTATTATGGATGTACACACGTACTCCATGCTCTAGCATTATACACACACACACCTGGTAGAGCAATAAAAACATAGTTTTACCAAAAAATTACTTTGTTTTGCAAATATTATATTGGTATAACCCAACAATGAATAATAAACAAAATGTTCTATATGTCTGATGTGAGGTTTTATTTTATTAGACAAGAATTGAGACCATATTTGAACAATTCTGGAAAGTCAATTTTCTTTCTTATTGATTTTAATATATGTTATTGCAGGGTGTGGGAAAAAACAAGATTGTTGACAGATTCCTTCACCTGTTAAACAGACCTAGAGAATATTTACAGCTTCATAGGTAAGAATGTTATTTTATGTGACAATTTTTATGGAATTTCACCTTTTCATCTCACTAGTCTGATTTGTTGGTATTTTAAGTCTCACATTCCTGAAGTCCATTTCTTATTATTTGCAGTTCTGTAGTGCTGAGCTTTAGTCAGCACACTGGGGTCCCAGTTTATAAGTGCTGTATAGACACAAAATAAGCAGTCCCTGCCCTAAAGAGTTTACGGCAAATGGATGGGGGACTATTAGGAGACAGTGGGACAGTAATGGTTAGAAAGATAGGCACCCATTCAAGTGCACCAGTATTTAACCATTGTCAAGTTGTACAGAGGGATTTGAAAGAAAACGAGTTTGTTTGGTCAGTGTTTACTGAAAGTGTTTGCTGTGTCAGGGCCTGCATAGAAAAAAGCCTACATGTACTTATTTGGAAATGTAAGTAGTGGCTGAGGGTGGCTGGAAACTCCAGCTGGAAATGTGTTGTCTTCCTTTTACACTCTGGTAACTTCTTCCAAAAATCTGTTTTGCATGACAAGGAGAGCCAGAGCGAAGCTATATGTAAACGTATATTGCATGTTTTTCCCTCATTTCTGCTCCCCAGTGTATCCAAAACATCACTGCTGAAACTGAAATGTTTCTCTTTGCCCGTTTGATCACATAATCCCTTTGTTGCTTCTTCCACGCTTCTCTTTGCTGATGTGTTCTCCTTCCATATAAATTTCAAACTTGCTGTCATGCTGATGGCTTTGGATAACTCTGTTTTCCTACCTCTTTATTGTCATCTTATATACCCCATGCTTCTCCATGCTCCCCAACTTATCTTCTAAATCAGGGGTGGGCAAAATGCAGACTGTGGGCTGGATGCAGCCCACCAGGCCATTCTATCCGGCCCGTGGGGCCCCTAAAAAATTTAGAAAATAAATATTTATCTGCCTTTGGCTGCCTGTCATGCGACCCTCGATGGCTTGTCAAAACTCAGTAAGTGGCCCTCCACCCAAAATAATTTCCCACCCCTGTTCTAAATGCTCCCTTTGTGATCTCCTACTGTCATCCTCGTGCCTGCTTTCCTACCGCCCCCTCTCTTCAGAGCAAATTTCTTTCCCTCCCTCCCTCCCTATGTGCAAAGCACTTTATCTTTTTCAAAATCTCACATATTTTACAAACTGTTTCTTTTTTGCATTTTTTACCATATGCCTTTTTGCATCTGAATTGCTTTTTCATACTGTATAATATATTTCATTTAGACTAAAACTCCTTAAAGTAGGGTCTGGCTTCATGTTTTTTCTCAAGCAGGATATGATTTTTAAAAGTAAAGATTTGTTATAGTATATTACACTGACGTGTTCCAAAACTAGTGTCGACAAGACAAGTTATACCCCAGTGTACCTTCAAAGCATCCCAGGATAGGCTAAAGTACAATTTATAATGCCTACAGTATGGTTGTAGAACATATTAGAATGTGGTAACTGGCACATTCTATAAATAATAAAATAATAAAAACATTTTTTCCTCAATGAAGAAAAATGCTCACATGGTTTTTAAATAGGTAGGATTGTAGGAATCTATAAAACGCCCTATTGAAAAAAATATTAACAAATACTTTGAAAGTGATAAATCATAATATCACATTCTTTAGAAGATTATTTGGAGAAAAGTAAGTCTTTTCTATTAAATTTTGGTGAGCTTTTCAAATAATGTTATAGAACTCATTTAGTTTAATTCCAATATTACATTTTATATGATTCTTCAATAGCGTTAATAAATGATAAAACATACCTTTAGAATTAAGAGCCAAATAAGCTGTTGTCTGAGAGTAAATTTAATAAAGATCAGTGCTCTGTTAAGATTTTGGTTCCTTGAACATTTTTCTTGCCAGTCAGTTCACAGTATTTTTGTCAAAAACTGTACAAAAATTGTTGTTTGATGATTAGAAATACTGCCCTGCAGCATTCTTTGCTGATTGATACCTGGCTAGCATCAACTCAGTAAAATGTACTAACACTTGCTATTTGCTACCGAAGAGCACACTAAGTGTCACAGCTGTCAATATTTTATACTTCGGTTACATCAGTCAGCTGAGGGCACAATTATGTAGCATGTAATTTTCCATCACTTTTCTTGGTTCTACAAGCAGGGAACACAAGCAGTTGTTGTCGTGATGAAAGTAACAGAGTAGAGAAGGTATCAAAGTGTTAGTTGGTGGATAAGCCTACTATAACTTGTAGGTTATGGTCTGCCCTTTGCTGGCCTTTTTATTATTTGTCTAACTGCTTGTGACTCAGTGTTCTATACAGTTTATTTCTAGTTTCACGTCACTTGTTGCACCTAGAGTAAGTTTACTTGCCAGTTCTTTTCTCTGGGAATTCAAGGGTAGAGCTGCCCCTCTCCCCCTTGGTTCTCAAAGCTTTCTCTTTCTGATGTACTTGACCAGTAGAAGGCACCTTCAGGGGGCTTTACCACCTCATTTCCAAGTTTGGCATGTGTGGAGTAAGAGCAAGTGAATGGGACATCGTTTCTTGGCAATTACCTTAAGAGTACCAAGGAACCCATGTAGAGGTATTCCAAGTCCTCAGTGAGATGTCCTTTGTATATGAAAGCAGTTGATACGTTTATGATCAAATTCTTGATTATATTGAATTCAGTAATACTACTGTTGTGTATAAGCATTATCTGGATTTGGACCTTTATGTTCACAACTGTTCACCACAGCGCCCTTGGGGAGAACCGGGAGTAATGGCCACAAACTCCTGGAAGACCATTTCAGGCTCAACATTAGGAAAAACTTCTTCACACTTAGGGAGTCCAGACTGTCAAATAAGCTCCCTCCAGAAGCGGTGCAATCGCCTACCCTGGAAATCTTCAAGAGGAGACTGGATAGTCATCTTGCTGGGGTCACTTGACCTTAGTTGTCTTTCCTGCCTGGTGCAAGGGGCTGGACCTGATGATCTTCTGAGGTCCCTTCCAGCCTTACAATCTCTGAATCTATATATATGTATTTGTATGTAATAAGCATTTATTAAAACAAATGCTACATGCTTGCGATAGAAAATGGGGACAGATAAATTAGTAGTAATGAATGGGCACTGTATTTTAATAAACTATTTAGTTTCTGGGCCAGAAAGGCAAAACCACAAGGATAATGTGTCTTTAATAGTGATTTTACCTGAAGAGTAGCTGAAGAAACTAGTGGCATTAGAGAAAGAAATATGTAGAAACAGCTTTAAAAATTAATTGAACAAACATTTTCACTCGCTGTTGAACAACAGTATTTTTAACATTATTTTGTTAAAGTGAGAGAAGCAGGAAAGTAAATAAAAGGAAAAGATAGTTAAAGTTCAGTGAGGTAAAACTTTTAAAGTTGTTTTACAAACATGACAAGGTTTAAGCCCTATTTTTGAAAAGTGCTAAAGTCTTGTTTGGCTTTCACTTGGAATTCAGATCTGAAGTCACTGAGACTTTTGAAAATTTTATTTTTGGTAAATAATGAGTCAGGGGAGGGAATAAATTCGCTGTGTCAAATACCCTTGTCAAAATATAAATGTCCTTTTTTAACAGATGTGCATACATAGAACCAAAGATGCCATTTAAAGAATTGTTTTTGTGTCAGTAGCATAAGGACTTTTAATGGCTTATTCAATATAAATACCCTGAAGATTAGTTATCAATTTCAGATAATTTTTTAAGGAAGTGTTTACATTATCCTATCACTTCGCTGAAGAGTCAGTGAGGTAATCGCATAAGCAATTTTTAAATCACATTTTACGAGAATGTTTGTTCATGAAGATGATGAGAGGATCTGAAAGGCAGACTAAGCAGGATTTTTTAAAAACATCTCTTCTGACATCTGGATTCATTTGCATTACTGAGGATTCACATGCAAGGGTCAGCCTGACCTTAAGGATTAATCTTCTCAGGGAGGCCATACATCATTCTTCCTAACCTTTCTTACACTTCTTAGCTGAATGTACTCATTTCCTGGGTATCTTTTTCACATTTTGTATACTTGTCACTAACAATGAAGGTGTGAGTAAAGGTAGTAAGGGAAGGCCTTCAGATGTATGTTTGCGAAGAAAATATATATACTGTGGGATCTTGCCTTCTGTGTAAGCTGTTTCTGATCATTCAGGTTATTTTTAATGCCTCATAAGTTGATCTGGATAAGTGGAAGAATGAACGATAGACTGGATGAATAGAATAATGTTACTGTTCCTTCCAAATTAGTCCTGAGCTATTAACTAAGAAGTATGATTGGAAAGAATCACACTTTAAAAATACAGTTACTTGTCATGGTATTTTTATTCCTATGAGAGGTGTATTTGTACAATTTTGGTGGAATTCTGTTTCAGATAATTAGGTCAGTCCTAAGATTTCCTGGCGAAAATTGCATATTTTATTTTTTTAATTTCTGTTTGAAATTGTTATTTATTGTTATTTAATGGCAAACAGTTTATGGAAGCAAGTACCTATCAGTTGTGAGTAATTTTTACATATTGGTCTGAAAATCCATTGGTAAAGATTGAAAAGGATGTTGAGTCCTTCTGAATAAAAGGCGCTACTGTATATAAAAATAAACACAGAAATGGGTTTTAACATAGTGTTTCTCAACCTCCCTAGATCTAAGGCATCCCTTGGAAAATGACAGTTCTTAATATCCACTCATTTTTAATAAGAAAAATAATAGAGCAGTGTTTCTATTGCAAAGAACTCAGAAAGAATCAGAAAAGGTCAGACTAGTTTTAATACTGTGGATTCCTATTTGAAATCTCCATGTTTGTTATGAATCATGTTTGCACACCTAACAGTGCTAACATTTACTTGGCACCCTGCAGCACCTTTGAAAGGATCTCAAGGTACCCATTTTTTTTAGAAATTTGAAGGGTACATAGTCCTCCTTTTTAGTCTTAAATCTGGTTCATCACTTTGTACTTTACTAACTTTAACATTTGCCTTTTCTGGTAGAAACAGTAAAACATCTGCCTTCCAATACAAGAGAAATGAAAATACGTTATTTAAAGA